AAAATCAGGTGGTGAATTTAAATAACAAAGACGCGACGCTTTTGTAATTTATACGGTCGAACCATCACTACGCAATTTCTAACCGCGTTATTTGTTTCGTTGACATTTTAAACTTCCGCCGACCGAGCAATTATAGCTACAACAAATAGACGTTCTCCGCTACAATAACGGTGCATGGCTAATTTGAAAAAATAAAAAAAATAAAGAAAGGGGAGGGGGGAAAGAAACGCGGATAAAATTTGTAGCTAGTAGAAACAGCGATATATTAACCGCGCGTTAGAGTTGCGGCCTTAAATAGCGAATTAATCTCGAGGGTGATTATCGTTTCTAGAGAAAATGGCGTAAAACATCCGCGATGCCTGCGAATACTCGGCTAAACCGTAGGACGAAAATTCCTAGGAAAAGATAAAATCCGTGAACGCTACGAAGCTAAAGAGATACTCGGCGTGGGGTATAATATGCACGGAGTGAAAAATCTGTTTTAAAAAGCCTTCCGGGGTATAAATTGCCGGCGGTTACGGGGACAGCTGAGGAAGTTAAAGCGAACCTGGACGCAGATCCTCGCAATCTATCGTACATATAACCTGCACCGTATCAGCCCTATTACATCCGTTAACGATCTCGGATCAGATTTCGTTACTTCATTTTCTCGGGACGAGCTGTATCTTCGTGCCCTCGTGTCGCGAGGCCGAAACATGGAACAAGAACGAAGAAAATAGCAAAAGGGGTAGCGAAGGGGCGAGAAAGGGGTGGAAAAGGGGCGGAGAAGGGGCGCGGAAGGGGCGGGAAAGGGGAAGGGAGAGCGTTCCAAGAGAGTTGCAGGAGATAAAAGCAATTAATTAAGGCTCGAAGCATCCCTCCGTCTTTTTTTGTCTCGCAGCCACCCCCGGCTACGTCCGGAACTACTATCCGCCTGTGTTCCCTTTTTTCTCGTGCAAATCCAGTGCGCAAAGGTCGATTCTACCCGTCTGCCGTGAAAACGAGCCGACGACACGACGTATCCATTATAGGACAAGTGGGCCACGTCGCGAAATAATGGAACGGCCATGATTTTGTGAGTTTATCGTCACTCGTCACGTGACGCGGAAATGCAGCAGGAGAGTAGTGCAGCAGCTCCCACGCTTAAACGGGTCGAGGGTGCTCGCGCTTAGGCTCGTAATTAAAACACGCCGGAACTTAATGTTTCCTACTCTACGAGAGCTTCGAGGTAACAAGCCCCGTGTCTCCGTGAATCCGCGTATCGCCCAACTCCGTCGCGGTCCTTCGAAAATCCCTCAGCTTCCCGCTGAAACGACTCGAACGTCGGTCGAACGAGTTCGGAAGGGTTGATCGCGCGACGGCTGGAGAGTTTCGGTAGCCAAACTAGGCCTGCTGGAAGCTGCCGGGTCGCGAAAATAATTACCAGCCACTTTATCCTTTCATCGGTTCGTGGCGTTTCCTCGAAGCTGCAGGAAGAAGATCCGGTCGGGTAACGAGCACAGCGCCCCGGGCCACTAGACCGACCTACCCATCCGAGACAAACTCGCTAAGGAAGCGGCGTTTTATTATTGCGAGAAGTTATTTCAAGGTTCGTCATACTTTCGCGTAGAGTAGCGAGATGAAACGATTGCAAGGAAACCAAGTTTCTCGCCCTCCTTAGCTCCTCCGAGGCAACTTCTCGGATTGACGAAGCACCTGCCAAGCTCTCTGCCGGGAAGGTTATTTTAAAATAATACGCTTTCCGATCGGGCAGTGCGTCGAAAGTTTGGTCGAAAGGGGTCATCGAATATGAAATTAGCGGGATAATGGGAAGTAACCGGCGCACGTTAAATGGATTTCCATGGAGGAAGTTCGCGGCAACCATTTTTCGCTACCAATCTCGTGAACGCTGCACGTTTCCGCTTCCCTGGCAACGGATTCGTAACTTGCTCGTTACGATACCGAGGCATGAATTATCTCGCGCTTTACAGGCTCCCTTTGACTCGGTGTTTTTCATCTTCCCATTCTCCCCGATCGCGTACAAAGGATTTCGCCAGGAGAGTAGAGTAAAAAGAGAAACGATGTATTTTGTCGTTATTACAATGGATTTCGAGAAAGCGAGACGAACTCGCTGGTAATTTCAATTTCGCTAATCCTCGCCAACGATCTTCCTCCCTTTCAACCACGGCCGAATGAAAAGCATTCTTCGCCATAGATTTACCGCTCGCGTGAGCGATCGAGTGAATGGATCGCAACGCGAAACGGACCGCGGCTCGTTTCGCAAATAAACTTTCCCGTGGAATACTCGAAAGTTGAAAAATCATAACGAATAGTCCCTTTGGCGCAGAGCGACAGTCGCGATCGTTTTCCTTAAACTCGAGCAAAGAAAAGGGGATAGCCCAATTTATCATCCAGATAAAGGAATCACAATGGTTCCACCGTCGACCGAGTTCGATAGCGTGCAGCGAAACCTACAAAACTCGGCGGCGACGAAGCGAGACAATAAGATTTCCAAAAGTTCCGTGTTTGTCTGGGACGCCCGTATGAAAAGAAATAGCCACCAGCGGAACCGTGCGGAGACACGAAGACGCGCGCGACCAATAGACGATGGCGGCTCGATGGCGTGGTGTAACCGGAAAAATCACCATCCCTCCTGCCAAGGAAAATTACATTTTTTCTTCCTTTTTCTTTTTTCTCCCTTCTTTTTTCTTTTTTTTTTTTTTTCGATCGAAAGTTACCCTTTCGCGTTGTATCCCTTTTTTCCTCTCGTTTTATTTCCCTTCTTAATCCGACCATCCCGATATCCCTTTGCGGTACGACCAGTACGGTAAATCGGGATTTTCCAGCGTGCGATATCGAGGTTGAAGTTAAGTTCAACTTCCCTAACGAGTGGACGGTTCGGTTTCAGCGGGTAAAGACAAACCGTGTCGTTAATGCACGGCTATCGACGAGACCTGTTAATCGCATAGCGTAATTTTCAATTTTCTCTTGCTTCCGAATATCGTGGAAATTTAGCGAATTGTCGGTTTCCGATCTCCACGGGAATCGAACGAGGAGCCGAATCGATTCTTTCGGTGCAACGGAAATCTTATTAACGTCGCGAGCCTTTTAACTATTTTGGGAAAAATTTTCTTTTTACACGATGTTACAATCGCGTCCCGTACGCGACGACCTCGTATTTCGGCGTGATTTTGCAAATGCGAATCTTTTGTTCCTTCTGCTTTGTCACGCTGCCGGAAAGAGGCGGAGTAGCTTCTCCTTTTTTACGAAACACCATTCTATTATACGTCGACGAGTTTTACTCGCATTGTTTAGAGTCAGTTAGCTTGGCGTGCGTAAAAGTAACGACATGCATAAAATACATGGCATTTTACTACGGCTATTAGCATAAACTTCATGGCAGCATTATTCTTGCCACATCGCATCGACCTCCGTACGATTTCGCGAAGCAACCCCGGCGACGACTCTCTGCGTATCATCGACGACATCGAAACCGCGTCAGCGTCGATCATTAAATCGCGTAATGAGGTAATCGCTCGTAATTAACAAGTAACTTTACCGATAGAATATTTCGCTTTCATCGTAATTAAATCTGGCCACGTAAAACGGATTCGACTGCGAATTTAATTAAATCGCCATCACGAAGGTATCAACGAACTTTGCAAAACGTCCGAATTAACGAGACGGAAGGATCGACTTTAACGAGATTCCGCGATAAATACGATAGTCGGTGAGCGTCGATAGGTGGTCGGACTTGGTTACCTTTGCGGCCAAAGCGATCGCGATTCGCCGGAATTATTCGCGATTTCCTTTTCATCGACCAGTTAAACGGATCGTTCACGCGCGTCTCGGTAGCGAAGGAAGAACACGCCTGCAGTGTTCCAGGCATACAGTGCAATTTCCATCGTGGAGATGATAGTCTCGAGAACGATGGCTGGTAGTAAAAACTCCCGAGAAAGACAAACTCAACGGAAGGACTGCTGGCGAGAACTCGTTGCTCCTGGCAGAGTGGTTCCACACCCGAGGATGTACACGGTTTAATTCCAGCCATCGCGAACGCATTAATACCCGACTCGTTAAGGTTAGTGGAAAGTTACCGCGGTTCTACTTGCTCGCGGTTGAAGCTCAACGTTTACGGAGCAATCGTGACCCGAAGATCGAGGGTGCGACGATAATTTCGTTGTTCGATAACGAGAAATGACGGAAACCGAGAGACAAAGGGGGAGGGGGGGACATTCGCAGGAGCTAGAACCCATGTTCGACGTTCCTCGGGGGGGGGGGGGGGGGGGGGGA